TTGTTTATTTTAACTTAGGTAATCGAGCTCAATCAGAAGATCGTTTTCGTTCATCAACTCTTTCGCTTAATAATGCTACTGGTGATACAACATCATCATCATCATCTCATTCCTATTTGCCATCATATGCTGCACATACATCAAGTTCAATGAGTAAACTGCGCGAAGGTATAACATCATCAATACCACCAGCTGTACCTATGTTTTTACCATCGTCGTCTACTACATCACTAGTCATGAATTCTCAAACACGTCGTATTCCATCTGCTGCTTCATTAGATACTCGTTCGATATCATCAAGTAAAAATATAACAAAATCTCGTTCAACTCAAAATCTTATTCTTCCAACAACAACAATGCAACAATCAAAAACTACAACATTTCGTCGAGTAAAAATCTCTCGTGTTACTCGACGTCCACCTAATTTACCAACAGCATCTACGATACAATCATCATCATCATCTTCTTCATCATCAGCATCATCAAATACTTCATCACCAACAAAAAATAATCAAACAAAAGAAAATCATGAGACAAAACAATATATTCATCCTACATCATCATCTTCATTGCAGGAATCTGTTTTACCATTACGTGAATTAGATAATACAACAAATGATCTTATGCCAAAATGGGCACAAGATTGTTTTTATCGAACAGTTGTACTTGGTTTAAAACCATTACTTTTACAAGATATACCATCATCACCAAATAAACCAACAAAAAGATCATCAAGTACATGTTCTATTGAAAGTTCAGATTCATTAGAAACGACAAGTGATTTACAAGCATGCACATTAAATGATAATGCTAATAACAATCAAAAAGAAATTAAGGTACGACGAAGTATATCAATACCAGATTATAGACAAATAAAACAAACACATAAAATTTCATCACCATCCTTATCCGAGACAACAATTAATGATACTAAACAAGAGTAAATCACAAAATTTCACTTGTATTATTGTTTTTTTCTTATTTAATATATTTGATTTTAGTGATTCAATTATGAATGATCATCGTATGCCCATTATTTATCATCTTGTTGACGATCTTCATAAACGTCTTAATGAATTAGAGAATCTCTATTCATCAGTAAATAAAAGATCCCACCAGATTTGGTGGTCTATCCTCAATTAGGATGCCTAGAATGAATTTCGGCGCATTGAATGATGTATAAAAAATTTAAGTTTATGGAAACTTTGATGCGCGAAAGATTGATGCACTGGTTATAATGCTTGAGAAATATTATAGCATACTCATACACTCTGTAATCCATAGGTTGTTCTATGATAGACTTACATAATTTTTTTTAAATTCAATCCGATACAGTTATAGATGCTCTTCGATTTTCTATAATCAATAGTTCTCATCATTGCTTTTTTTTAATGCCTACAAATGATGTCTTTCTTAGATCTAACTTATTTATTGATTATATGATGCTCCATTGCATTCAACTGTGTACTATACAACAAATGAGTACCAATGTGAAAACTTCTCAAACATAGCATATTATCGAACTCTGTATGTTTTACATATAACATTTTGTAGAACAGCAGGAACTCATTCTGAACTTGTAAGATTATTGTCTAGAATAGGCTATTTTCATATGTTAAGAGAACCGATATATTGACGATATCTTAACAATACTTAAGAGTCTTCTTTAAAATTTTCATGTACAAATAATTGGCATAGCATTCTTGATGCACTAATATAAATAACTTCTTGATAAATGGAAAAGAAATATGTTTGACCTTTAGAATCTAGAAGTAGATACGAGAATATGGACAAATTTATTTTTGAAATGAGCATATGATAGTTATAGATTCTTGTACACCTTCATGCAAAAATCAAATTAAAATACTTGGAATAGAAATAACAGACCTCATTTCTGCAATTGAATAACCTTATTCTGTCTAGAAGTGTGAAGACCAAAAAATTCTTTTTCATTCATCAAGAGTTTATACATTTTAATTTACCATAGATGTTGTGCTGATTATTTGTACATAAGAATTTTTAATAGGACCGTTGAGTATTGTTAAGATGTCGTCAATACATTGATTCTATTCATAGGAAAATAGTCTATTCTAGGTGACAGTGTTACAAGCTCACAATGAGTATCTATTGTCCCGAAAGTTGTTCTGCATCAAACATGTAGAGCTCGATAATGTGCTATGTTTGAGAAATTTTCATATTAATACTCATTTGTTGTGTAGTACACAGTTGAACGAAATGGAATAAAAAATACTGAAGGAATAACTTAAACTTAACTACCACCGACAAAATTAACACAACACGTATTTTTGATAGATATTTTCATTAATGGTCAACCACAAACAATATAAATTGTTCAGAAATTTTTTTCGTCTATAGAACTTTGTAAAGCTCGTTTCCCTGATCATTTTGGTGGAAAAAATATTCAAATTTACTCGATAAATAACGGACCTTGGCTGCGAATACTCAAAAATATCATCTACTAATCAGTAGTAGTCATGAATAGTCGAAAGTTTTGAGTATTTTGACTCTAATGCCGTTATTTATTGAGTAAATTTGAATATTTTTTTACTAAAATGATCAGCGAAACGAGCTCTACAAAGTTCTATAGACAAAAAAAAAATTCTGAAAAACTTATATTTTTCCTGGTTGACCATTAATGAAAATATCTATCAAAAATACGTGTTGCGTTAATTTTGTCGATGGTAGTAAGAAAACGAACTATTTTTTAGCATGAAGAAGGTAATGATGAAAACTATTGTTTATAGAAAATCGAAGAACATCTATAATTGTATCAATTTGCATTTTAAGAAAATTGTATGACTTTATCGTAGAATATCCTATGGATTACAATATCTATGAATACCTTATAATATCTTTCTAAGCATTATAATTAGTGTATCGAATCTTAGCACACAAAAATATTCATAGATCCTGATTTCTTATATATTATGCGATGCGTCGAAAGTGATTCTATAAAATCACATCCATAATATCCTGTTTGAGGAGCGACTAGAAAATTTAGTCAAGTTGTTTATTATTATTATTTTTTTTCTGAAGGTTACACAAAGTTCAGATACTCGAGATATAATGTTAAAGCAATATATTGAACAGATATATACTGATCTTCATGTACGTATTACAAATAATCATCATCATCAACAGCAAGAAGAACAAGATGAAGAATGTTCAACCAATACAACTGTTGTTGTTGTGACTGATTGATATCTTTAGTTGTCTTTATTATTTTTCGTGTCCGGTTCTTTGAGAACTCGGTGACGTGTTTCTCTTTTTTTTTTTAAATTTTGTTCTTGATTATCTTCTTCAGGGATGATCTTTCTATGCAGATGCTTGTATGTTTATCCGTTCTTGATTTGCTTTCTTTTTTTTTCTTTCATTTGCTAGATTTAGATACGTTCACTTTTTTTTTCTTCATATCGGGAATCACGTATAATTGTAAATACGGTTGTCTCGTATTCTTTTCTCCCTTATTTCTTCAGTTATATACATGACACATTCAATGCTTTAGGGCTTTCAGTGTCTTGTCTATATATATGTGTGTGTGTCATTGTCACTTTCTGCTTCTATTATGATATCATTTGATGACTGATGATCATTTCTTTTTTTTTTTTATTTTTCCCAAACGATAAAAGAAAAGTTTGTCGATGAAAGAAAATTATTGAAAAAAATGAATTCTCTTGCTCAAAAGAAAAAGAGTCTAGCGGTTACAAGTTAATTTCTTAGTGTATTAATGCATGATATGAAACCATGGAGAAATGCTGATTATGTTTGGGGGCGTTCGTCTTCAATGCAAAACATACTACTTTTTAGTACACGAACTATACTATGATTCAAGTTTCCATCATTCGTTTGAAAAAGTTTAAATCTGAAAAAGCAAATCTTAGATTATAATAAACGTCAACATTGATGAAATATTAGCTCAAAGTCTATTTTGTATATATTATATTCCAATTTTCTATTTGAGATCATATATCTTCGATTTTCGAAATAGCTCAAATGACTTAATACTTTTATTTTTAAACTTAACAAATAAGTCAAGTCATAATCGATCATTATCAAGTAAATAAAAGCTATCTACATTATTTTCAATTAACTTAGTCGTATCAAGAACAAAACCTAATATGATAAGGTTGATTAGATCTGATTTACTGAACATAAAAGAGGGGAAATAAGTTCTTAAGTTGTCTTTCTCCTACATGAACCAATGCGATTGTTTTGATTCAATGCAAAGCAAACAAGACATACAAACATTCTTATATTAAAAAATAATCTTCTATATACTCTAAGTCATGTTTTACTATGAAATTTTGAGAGGAACAACTGGTTGAATAAAAATACTTTACTATGGGTATTAGTGGGTATTAGACAATATATCACATATACAAATAATGGGGCTGTTTTTTTTATATAAAAAAAAAATTTCAACCTCAAATTTGTCTTGTTTGAATTGTTTTACCAATGAATGATTTGTTGAACATTTGTACTATAATAGATGTTCATTTGTTAATATTAGGTTCACTAAATAAGTTTTCTGAAATTTCTCTCACACAGGAAGAGAAAAATTTTTACTTGTAATATATATTATAAAATAGATAATTTTTTTTTCTTTTCGTCCACATTAACTAGAGAGTGTTAGTTGATAATAACATGTCATTAGAGCTGATGATTAAAGTGTGCGCAAAAGTTTCTATGAGCAGGAAATTTCTGTGCTCATCCGCCGAGTGTTATTATTAAAGCAAAGTAAAAAAAAAAGATTTTCTTTGCTTTCTCGTCCTTTTCTATTTTCTTTTCTCTTTTTATTCTTGTAACTCAACGTCGTCAGCTCAACTAAAGCTTTCATTAGGTTTATAAATGTTGCTCATCTAGAACGCACACATAATTTATGCAATATGTTTTTTTCCACTTCGTACTCTGCATTGATTGGCATAGGTGTCGTAACTGCAATTCTATTTATAGTGGTCTACTGTGTATGTTCAAATCATATGCATCGACATATTGCACCACTTCCCATGCAAGTTGTTGTTTTAGCTCAACCTTATCATCATCAACTGGATTATCCTCAAATGTGTTGGTCAGTACCTATGGAACAACCACCACCTCCTTATAATGCAGTTGTTACTCCGATGAATACTAACCGTAATATTGCACATTCTAGCAATCTATCATAGTTTGATATTGTTATTAATTCTTTTGGTAAATAAAAATTATATAATTATATCTGCGGCTCTATATGAATTTGTATCAGCTACATAACGATGCAAAGTTAACAATTACAAATGACGCCCATTCTTAAGTGTATGAATTATGTAAATAAAACCATAATTATCAAATGATTATAGTTCGACTAATTTATAAATCTAGTACTATTTTACAATCGGTTATTGTTAAATACAAAGAAATGTCATTCAATAGCTCATCTTTTAGATTTTCTAAGAATATTTTCAAGAAAAATAAAACTTTTAGATTATTAAGGTCTGATTGCCTTCGGGAAATTTTAGGAAATCTTAACAAGGATCATTTTCAATTAATGACTATTGAAATCTAATTTCCTATAAAAATTTCACTTGAAAATCAAATATCAACATTGTAAGAGATCCTTGTGTTGTTTCCTAGACACCTCAAAAATATTACTTTTACTAAATTGATAGTACAATACTGAATTCAATACATTAAAATACACGCTCCCTCGAATATTTATATCTGAAGTTGTGTTATACGTTTTTTTTTCACACACACGATTTATTCAATATCAACAGCGATAACTATCAAGCCAACACAAAAACTAGAAATAATTCTAAGTTAAGTAAAATGAATGATTGTAGTCAACAATAGTTTGTTACCATAATACATCAACAGAAAACTGATATTTAGAATCAACATTTACTATCGCTTACAAACACTTTAAATATGAACATTTGCTTTAATTTCTCTTTACTTATGACTAGGTTGAATATACTATATCATTAACTACTCTATTATTTAATTACCTGCTTATTCTATGAAACTTGGGATAAAATGTCACATAATGATTGTGACATTGGTTGGCGCAGTTTTCTTGGATGTAAATGAGTCCGTTCCTTTGTTTTTGCTTAAACAATTCTTATATATTAGCGGACGTCATTGTTGATTTTGAAATATGAAATAGCGATGAATAGTCTACTGTCGCATGTATATTAAGACCCAAGCCACAAATCAAAGCAATCTTAGCACCTGTTGGGTTTTTTTGACAGAATCGACCGATGAAAAGCCAATCTGTTTAATATATTTATTAATCAACTAGTTCTTTTGAGAAAACTTTATTACTATAGTGTCATGATAATATACAATGTGAAAGTCATATAACTCGTGCAATTTCTACTAGTAAGACTCCTTATTTTAATGTTTCACGTTCTATGTACGCTAATGCTAACAACAAAGGAAGAAATTTTTCAAAGCTTTTCATCTAGTAATTCATAACAACTGATATTGAACGATATCTATAGTTCGTTTGGCCTAACTTTACTCATTTTTTTTACAAAAATTGATAAGTTTTATATATTCTTATTTGAAATCATTACCTAACACAGCTGAAAGCTTCTCAGTTCACTGAAAGATACTACTGCTTACAAAGTATGAACTTGTACTCGGCTTTATATATTTGAAGTTTCTTAATGCACGAATATATGTTTACAGTCGCATGATCCAAGTAGTTGACATAACTATTTCAATAGAACGCAATCTTTCCTTATATTTATGTATCGAAATGATGAAGTGGAAATTACAAACATTGAGAGTTGTTGATAATCAGTTGAAACATGTGTAGAGAAAATAACTCGAAATTTCAAAGTGAAAAATCTTTCACTTATATGGATTTTAATTTCTGGTGGTTGACTAATTTTTAGTGCCCATAATAAGTTCATTTATCATAAACTGAAGTATTTATCGTGCAAATGAGTACTGGTAAACTCAATGTTTAAAACTAGAATTTTAATGATGCCTAGGAAACTATCAAGGTGAGTATTACTTTTTAATCGTATCCATCGTTATTTTACTGTTACAATGCTATGTTTAACAAGTTTATTTATTTTATTATTATTTGAATTGAAATCTACGTACGTGTTCTGACTAAAAGTCCATTTCGCGGTGTCTATAAATTAGATAAGACAAGTTAATTTATTTATCCTTAATAT